GAAGCCAAACTCTAATCATAAGGTTACTTAGCACCCACGGAAGCAGGCAAGAGTAGTTCTCTGGAGAAAATTAGCGGTCAGGTGCATCATGCCCTGCTAGCTTGGTGGCTTTAAGATGTCCACAAATGCTGGAAGACTGAAGAGAGAACACGTTACAGGATGAGAGATAGGTGTGTGGTAAGAATGAAAGACAGGAGAGAACTGAAAATAGTCCAATCTGGCCAAAACATGGAAGGTAAGGAGGGCAGGTTAAGCAGAGCTGGGGTGAAGGGATGGTTTGGCAAAGACCTCACTCTGAGTACAATGGGGAGCCACTGATTTGCTTTCAGAAGGAAAGAGATATGGTCAAATTTGTTATGGAAAGATTGACCTGGGTGTAAAGAGAAGCAACTGGAGATGGGCAACACGGAAAGCAGAAGGACTTAGGTTTCCGTGGTGCTGTAGGTGAGAGAGTCGATGCAGCAAGCTTTAAGTAGCAGAATGGCAATGGGGATGAAGTAGGTATGTCTAAAACAGTGCTTTTCAAAAGTGTGTGACTCTTGAAGTTAACTAGACTTATGGTAATCATCTCACACTATTTATACATATTGAATTATTATGTTGTATGCCTGAAACTAATGTAATGTTGTATGTCAGTTATACCTCAATAAAAAATAAATAGTGCTTTTCAAAGTTAAATATGTACACAAACCACCTGGGGATCTTGTCAAAATGCAGATCCTGATTCAGTAGGTCTGGGGTAGGGCCTGAGATGCCACATTCCTAACAAACACCCACATAGTGCTGATGCTGCTGGTCTGGACACCACATTTTGAGTAGCAAGGATTTCAGAAATATTATTTTATTATGATTTTATTTTTAGAGATTTTATTTTATTTTTTAAAAAGATGTTATTTATTCATTCGTTAAAGACATAGAAAGAGAGAGGCAGAGACATAGGCAGAGGGAGAAGCAGGCTCCATGGAGGAAGCCCCATGTGGGACTCGATCCCGCTACTTTGGGATCACACCCTGAGCCAACGGCAGACGCCCAACCACTGAGCCATGCAGGCGTCCCTAGAGATTTTAAAGTAACCTCTATATCCAATGTGGGGCCTGAACTTACAACTCTGAGATCAAGAGTCCCATGCTCCACCAACTGAACTGGCCTCAGAATTTTCAGAAATATTCAGTTTATAGGAGTTTGTGATTGGTTAGATGAGGGAAGAGTTGGCAAGGAGGGAAAATGAGTTGTTAAGGATCATATTCAAATTTCCAGCTCGAGTATCTGGGTGGTGATGCTACCCAGACACGAGATGAGGAACAGGTTTGGGTGGGGTAGATAATAATAAAAGATAACTTTTATTGAGTACTTGCTATGTGCCAGGCTCTTCATATATGTTGTCTTACTCATTCTGCACAAAAAACTTATGAGATAGGTACTATTGTGATCTTCATTTTTTTTCTTAAAGATTTTATTTATTTATTCATGAGAGACACACAGCGAGAGAGGCAGAGACACAGGCAGAGGGAGAAGCAGGCTCCATGCAGGGAGCCTGAGGTGGGACTCCATCCCAGGTCGCCAGAATCACAACCTGGGCCAAAGGTGGCGCTAAACCACTGAGCCACCCAGGCAGCCCCTGTGATCTTCATTTTAAGAGTGAGGAAACTGAAGTCAAGGTCATACAGGTAGCAAGTGAAACAGCCAAGCTTGAAACCCTCTGGCACTCTGAGTGCAGGACTCCTGCAGCTAACCAAAGGCAGATTGGATATGTGGAGTTGAAGCACCTGTGGAGAGGTCATGTAAAGCTGGTGAAGGTCGACAAGCTGGACTGGAGGTCAGGAATGGGATTCTGAGCAACGGCTGAAGACCTGAGGGGAATTCGGGACTGGAGAGAATGAAATCATCCAAAGAAGTTACAACCTACCACCTAAGAGTGCTGTCAGTCAGTCTTGTTCCATTTTCTTTCTTTTTTTTTTTTTTTTAAGATTTTATTTATGTATTCATTAGAGCCACAGAAAGAGAGAGAGAGAGGCAGAAGGAGAAGCAGGCTCCATGCAGGGAGCCCGATGTAGGACTCGATCCCCGGACTCCAGGATCACGCCCTGGGCTGAAGGCAGGAGCTGAACTGCTGAGCCACCCAGGGATCTCCCATTTTCCTTTTGCATTTGATTATTACAAAGGAAGAATCTGAAAAGGCCAAGTTATTTTTTTTAATAAATATATTTTTCTTTTTAGATATTATGTTTGTTCTTTATCCCTGAAATCTAAGAAATTTTCCAGATTATATATCGAAGTTGGTGTCTGCTTATTTTTCTGGATCCCAGTGAATTTACTCAAATTTCTACCTGCACTTCAGATCTTTTCAGACCTAAAGACAATTTTATTATAATTTATTATTGCCTCAAATTGATTTATTCTTCTTTTAAGGGATGCCTACAGCTTGAATCTTCATGATGTTCTCCTGCTTGTTTTTTCTCAAAGAATTCCACCACTTTGAACATATCTTTTTAAGATTTTATTTATTTATTCGTGAGAGACACAGAGGCAGAGACATAGGCAGAGGGTGAAGCAGACTTCCTGGGGGCAGCTGGATGTGCGACTCCATCCCAGGACCCCGGAATCATGACCTCAGCCACTCAGCACTGAGCCACCCAGGCGTCCCCACTTTGAAATTTTTTTTTTACTATTTTATTTATTCACAAGAGACAGTCAGAGAGAGAGGCAGAGACATAGGCAGAGGGTGAAGCAGGATCCATGCAGGAAGTCTGATGTGGGACTCGATCCCAGGATTCTGGGATCATGCCCTGGGCCAAAGTCAGACACTCAACCGCTGAGCCACCCAGACGTTTGTTCTGCTGCTTTGAATATTTCTTATGTTTATCTTCTATATTACTGATTTGCTCTTCTGCATTGTCAAACCTGCTTTTTACTACATTAACTATTGAATTTTACTTTGGCTATTGTAATTTTAATTTCACAGTACTCTCCATTTATCTTGGCCTGTTCTTCAAAAGATGATTTTCTTATAATCAAGAATTAAAATTAGGGATCCCTGGGAGGCTCAGCGGTTGAGCTTCTGCCTTCAGGCCAGGGCATGATCCTGGAATCCAGGGATCGAATCCTGCATCAGGCTCCCTGCGTGGAGCCTGCTTCTCTCTTGCCTGTCTCTGCCTCTCTCTCTGTGTCTCTCATGAATAAATAAATAAAATCTTAAAGAATAAAAATTAGGTGTCCTCTAAAACTGGATTCTGCTTGGTGGACTAAATATATTTCAAAGGAGAATTTTTTGCCTCTAGAACTTTTTTTTTTAAAGATTTTATTTATTTATTTATTCATGAGAGACAGAGAATGAAAGAGAGAGAGAGAGGCAGAGACACAGGCAGAGGGAGAAGCGGGCTCCATGCAGGGAGCCCGATGTGGGACTTGATCCTGGGTCTCCAGGATCACACCCAGGGCTAAAGGCGGTGCTAAACCACTAAGCCACTGGGGCTGCCCTTGCCTCTAGAACTTTGTCTTATTTCCCATGCCACGTATTTCTTTTTTCCTAGCAGGTTTTTTTTTTTTTAATTTTTAAAGATTGTATTTATTTATTCACGAGAGACCCAATGAGAGAGGCAGAGACATAGGCAGAGGGAGGAGAAGCAGGCTCTGTGCGGAGAGCCCGATGCAGGACTCAATCTCTGGTCTCCAGGATCACACCCTGAGCCAAAGGCAGCGGCTCCACCACTGAACCACCCAGGCGTCCTGCTAGCAGGTTTTTAAATATTTGCTTATTCACCTCTGAGATTGACTAACTGAACTTTGCTGACGTCTAGAAGTCCAGAGTTGAGGGCTTTCAAGATCACAGTGTTGGAGAACTGGGATGCAGGATCTTGCATCCTTATTTCCCCTCCAAAGATGGCCTGGGAAATGCTCAGAAGCAGTGGCTGTTACCACTCCTGTCTCATTTGTCTTAGCTATTCCTGGTATTCACCTGCTTTAGGATTCTGATTTTAATTTTTCAACTTCTGGTGTTTGTGAGTACTTCAGGGCCTCAGTGTGTTTGTCTCATTTTCTCTAGATCTTAATGTTTTGGTTTTGGTGTTTCCATCTTTGCATTTGTTTTTTATGTCCTATGATTGTCTACCTGTACCGACGTGGGTCTCAGTCTCTGACTCTGTCTTTCTCCACTAACCCCAACCCCTCAGTCAGCTTTGTATTTCTTCCTGGCACTTAAGATTTTATTCATTTATTCATGAGAGACACAGAGAGAGAGGCAGAGACACAGGCAGAAGGAGAAGCAGGCTCCTTGCAGGGAGCCCGGTGCGGGACTCGATCCCAGGACCCCGGGGTCACGCCCTGGGCCAGGGGCAGACGCTCAACCACCAAGCCACCCCGGGGTCCCACAACTTGAGTATTCTTTACCTCTCTTCCTTCCTGTCTCATCTACCCACCGGGTTATCTCCTCACTCTAGAATGTGGATGCCCAGGAACAATGCAGGTGCTCACCAAACACTGGTTGAAGGAAGGTGTCTGATTAGCGGATCCTGAGCCTCTCGCTGGAGTCTCGACCTTTGTGTTTCACACTTTCTCAGTATGCAAATATCTTCCGTGGTCTCGGTCATGCCTTTCATTTTCTGGCCCCGTCTGGAGGCCTCAGTGTGTGCGTGGGCCACGGGGTCGCGCGGAGCGTCGGCATGCCGCACGCGCGGCCCCAGGTCGTGCCCCAGCCCAGTCAGCGCCCCGCTGCGGGGCTCGCCTCCCCCCGAAAGTTTCTCAGGCCCGCGGCCACGGTCCCCGTCCCGACGCCACGCCCTCCTTCTGTGTCTCGGAGCCCCCTCCCGCGCCAACACCCCCGCGGGCGCACGTGACCAGGCAGGGCAGTGACTCCGCCGCCGCCGCCGCCGCAGTGCCCCGCCCCGCCCTGCCGCTTCCGCCGGCCCGCGCAGCCCCGCCCCCAGGCGGCGGGGAACCAATCCGCGCGCACGCTCCTTGGCCCCGCCCCGGCGCCCTCCTCGGCGCGCGCCCCTCCCGCCGCCCGCCGGCCCGCCCGTCAGTCAGGCAGGCAGGCAGTCGGTCCGAGCGGCCGTAGTCTCTCCCGCGGTCCTGAGCGCTGCCCTCCTTGCTCCTTTCCGGTCAGCGTCGGCAGCTGCACCCGCAGCGGCGCAGTCCCCCCGGGAGGCGCGGCGTGGGCCGAGCGGCGGCCGCGGAGCGTCGAGCCTTTCGCGGCGGCGGCGGCGGCGGCGGCCCGGCAGCCAACATGGCGGCGGCGGCGGCGGCGGGCGCGGGCCCGGAGATGGTCCGCGGGCAGGTGTTCGACGTGGGGCCGCGCTACACCAACCTCTCCTACATCGGCGAGGGCGCCTACGGCATGGTGTGGTGAGTGTCGGCGCCTGTCCGCAGGCCGCGCCACGCCCGCCCACCCGCCGCCCGGGGACGCGGCGGACGCAGCCGCGGCCTCGTCTGCGTCCCGGCCTCCCGCGCCGCCGCGCCCCCAGCCCGTGGCTTTCGCGCGGAGTGGGCGCCGGGGGCCTCGGGCGGGGCCCGGGGGCCGCTGGAGGTTTGGGTGTTGCTCACTGCGCTTCGCGGGCCGGCCTCCGCTCGCCGAGGGGAGGGGCTCGGGGGGCGGAGGCCAGTGTCCGGGGACCCGGGGATCCGGGCGCGGCGCGGGTTTTAGAGCCGGGACCCCCGGGAGGGGAACGGAAGTGGTCCTCGGGCCCCCGCCCCCATGATGCTAGCATCGTGGCCTTCCTCTTGACATCCGACTGTAGAGCCAGGAATTCCATCGGATGCTCGTCGGTGGTGGTGTTGGTCGCGGTCTTGTGTGCAGAACCTGAAATAATCTTCTCTCCTCCCCGGTATTCCGCGAACGGCTTTCATTAAATATTTTCGGTCGTGCTAACGGTGCCCCGCGCAGGCTGTCCGTAAAAAGCATCAGTGGCACCACTGTGGGTTGTGAAATATTTTAATCTTGAAGTTTTAAAATGGATTTTAATACCCACACTGTATGCGTTTCAAGAAGGATAAGTCTGCACCGCTCTCTTGATTGATTTATTAGTCATTTGGAGTTGGGCTTAATTTCACTTTTTTCTTTACCCTGAGTGAACTCTCTTGGCGTAAATGTATTCACACGTTTTAGCAGAATAGTTGTGGACTTGTCCTGTTAATGATGTTTTAGTGGTCAGTATATGTGTAGCCTTAATGGAATTCTTGCAGGACTACGTGCAGCCTCCCTTATCTTGATCATATCCCTCAAAAACGTTCTTGGTTCTTTTTATTAGAATTAGCTGTATTATTTTGTGCTGATGAGGACTTACGGAAGCATGGGCTCCCTTACACCTCTTTCTTGTGTGTCTTGAGTTGAATGAAGGAAGCAAACATATTTACGGAACACTTGGTGGCAGGTACTGTACTAGGTATATTATCTCATTTTATATGAACAGCCGCCTTCGAGGTGGTGATATCCCTCTTTCAGGGGAGAAAATATTTCGAGGTGGAGCAAATTCTTCAAGTCCTATGTCTAGAAGAGACAGACTTGAGATGGTAGACTGAGATCCTCTCTCATTTGCTGGAGCTCTTTCAGTTATATTTTGTCTTTAAATAGTGTTATTAATAGCTTTAGAGTTGGGTATATTTTACTGTTGTAAGCAAATCTGTTTTAAAAATGTATTCAAATTTAAGTGATTGTGATTTTAGAAATGCCATAAAGGGCCTGTTTTAACAAGTATTTTAGACTAATTAAATTTTAAAAAGTAATTGAATCTTGACTATTTTCATTCTCTTGAGGAGCAAAATGCTTCACATATACAACTGTGAAAATTAACGTGAACTCAGGTTTAGGAGCCAAAAGAAGAATTAAACTAGGTCAGGTCTAAAAGAAATAAGGCCCTAGAAAGTACTGCCCACAGCATCACTTCTCTGTCATAACATCTGATTGCTATGGCAACTACTGGTAAGTAGGCATGTGTCATGAGAGGTTCAGAATTGTTCATCATGTCCCATGGCTCTTTTTGAAAATTTAGCATCTAATATATGGACTGAAAAAACTTTAGGTTTAGGATACTATTTTTTTTTTATTTTTAAATTTTTCATTTTTTTTTAGGTTTAGGTTAATTGAAAGTTTTTTTTTTCCCCCCGATGAGATTATTACTAGTTTGAAGATAAGTAAGATAGGGTAACTATTTCTATCATTGCTGTGGACATATTTGACCTTCCAAGTCTTTATCAGGGAAGATGCCAAGTACTTTTACAGTAATCTTCCTTTCCTAAAATCCAAATACAAGTACAACTGGAATTAAAATCCTTGGTCCAAATTACAGTTTTTAATCCTTATCTTAGTAAGAATGTAATTTATGTTGCACATCATTAGCATTTAATAAGTGTTGATTAAGAATGCTGGGTTTATGGAGGGCTTCTTGAGTGAAATGTTAATATTTATTTATTTTAAAAAATATTTATTTATTCATGAGAGACACAGACATAGAGGCAGAGACACAGGCAGAGGGAGAAGCAGGCTTCCCTGCAGGAGCCCGATGCGGGACTTGATCCTGGGACCCGGGGGTCACACCCTGAGCCATGGCAGGTGCCCAACCTCTGAACCACCCAGGCTTCCCGAAATGTTAATATTTAAATAGTGATATTTAGGAGTGGGTATAATTTTGATGGGTAATAGGCACAAGTGAGTTTGAGCTGTGGAATCTGATCCTGGAAAAGTAGTTAAGTAGCAAACTGTAGAGGACTCCTAAAGCAAAAATGAGCATTGTTGTATATTAGTGCAAGGAAGAAACATCAGTGATTTTGAAAAAAAAAGAAGTCCTCTGGTCAATTCTGAGATTTTTGAGGGGTAGATCAGCACTGGTGGAAATGATAGAGAAAAAAACTGTGATGAGGGGAATCAATTAACCTATTGTAATTGTCTAGAGGTGAAGTGATAATAGTGGCATTGGAAAGTAACAGATGGAAGTGTTGAGAGACCTTGTTAAGATGGAATCGTGGGTGCTTAGGTGGTTCAGTCGGTTAAATGTCCAGTTTTTGATTTCAGCTCACGCCTTGATCTCAGTGTCATGAGTTCAAGTTATGCATTGGGCTCTGCACACACACAGGCACACACAAAGAATTCGTGCAGTTCCCGGATGGCACAGTCAGTGGAACATGTGACTCTTTATCTCAGGGTTGTACGTTTGAGCCCCATGTTGGGTGTAGAGATTACTTAAAAATCAAATCTTTAGGGCAGCCCTGGTGGCTCAGCAGTTAAGCACCGCCTTCAGCCCAGGGTGTGATCCTGGAGACCCAGGATCGAGTCCCACGTCAGGCTCCCTGCGTGGAGCCTGCTTCTGCCTCTGCCTGTGTCTCTGTCTCTCTCTCTCTCTCATGAATAAATAAATAAAATCTTAAAAATCAAATATTAAAAAAAATAATCCATATGGGCTTTTATCAGAAGAATGGTAGACTGAATTATGGCACGTATGGGAAGAAGCAAAGGATGATAAGATCTTAAAGGACAAGAGTCTTAATGAGGTGGGATTTGGATTTAAGAGGGATTTCTGAGACAAGGATTTTTTAGTTTGGGTATGGTCAATTGTTAATTGTTATGTCAATTGTTAATTCCAAGGCTTCTAGTTTGGAAGTCTGGGAGGATGGTGTTGCTGTTATCAGAGAAGAAATACTGTAGACAAAGCAAGTTTATTAGGGATACATAGTGAGTTGAGACTTAGTAAGTTGTGATGACTATAGACTGTTTAGGCAACATCTAGAAGGCATCTTGAAATATAGAAAAGGGAAATAGAATCGAGATGAAAATTAATGTAAGTGGTCTTTCATGGATGAGATTCTTATCTGAGATCTGAGGTGACTGTTTAGGTGAAATTGCAAACAGATGTGTATATTCATCTTTTTAGTAAATAGTTCACACATCCAGTAGATTTTCAAAGAGGTCCATTGTCCCAGAAAGATTAAGATCCACTGAGGTAGAATAGGAATACCACAGAGGTAACCCTGACAAATATTTCTTTTAAGTCTTATTTTTTTGAGAAAGGAGGAGAGAGCGCTCGCTCTCTCTGTCTGAGAGCATTCAGTGGGGAGGGGCAGAGGGAGATGGAGTCTTAAGTAGACTCCTTGCTGAGCATGAGCCTGACTCAAGATTTGATCTCACGACCCCAAGATCATGACCTGAGCTGAAACCAAGTATTGGATGCTTAACCGACTGTGCTACTCAGGTGCCCCCTTGATAAATATTTTTTAAGAGGTAGGCAGAGGAATGGGATCCTTTTTTTTTTTAATTTTTATTTATTTATGATAGTCACAGAGAGAGAGGGAGAGAGGCACAGACATTGGCAGAGGGAGAAGCTGGCTCCATGCACCAGGAGCCCGACGTGGGATTCGATCCTGGGTCTCCAGGATCACGCCCTGGGCCAAAGGCAGGCGCTAAACCGCTGCGCCACCGAGGGATCCCGAGGAATGGGATCCTAAAGACTGGTCAGATGTATAAGAATTAGAAAAAAAAATGAATGAGAGGAGAAACGGAAGTTGTTTACGCTTGATCATTTATTTTTTTTTTATTTTTTATTTATTTATTTATTTTTATTTTATTTTATTTTTTTTTTGCTTGATCATTTATTAATTAAGATAGGTAGGGCAGCTCTGGTGGCGCAGCGGTTTAGCGCCGCCTGCAGCCCGGGGTGTGATCCTGGAGACCCGGGATTGAGTCCCACATTGGGTTCCCTGTATGGGGCCTGCTTCTCTCTCTGCCTCTCTCTCTGTCTCTATGAATAAATAAATAAAATCTTAAAAAAAAAATATAGGTATCTATTTGAATAGGTTGAGTTCTGAAACAGTTTTTGGAGTGATTGAGAGGTCATGGGGTCATCTCCATAGAGATAGAGATAGAGATACCTTGAGAATGGATAAGATTGGGGGGCGGGGATGTAAGAACTGAGCCACAGGAATGTCTGATTTTAGGTGTCAACAGAGAGGGCAAGCTACAGAAGAGGACAGAGAAAGTGTGGCTAGAGAGCCCAGACAATGAGGAGTGTGGCTAGAGAGACCAGACAATGAGGAGTGTGCATCATCAAAGGAACCAAAAAGACTATAGTCATCAGGGATTGGTATTGAATACTATAGAGGACTAACAGTGCAACTTGAAGAGAGACAAAATTTCAGTGTGATCACCTTCTCTATGGTACAATATTCTGTTTTATTGAGGCATGTTGATTATGGCAGACTAGTAGCACTACCATTTAGTTAACACTTTGCTTTATGTACATCAGTTAATCTTCAACCACATTGCAAACATGATTACTTTGTATGAAAGTGAGGAAACTTGGGACAGAGAGTTTAGTTAATTTGCCCAAAGACACATGACTAGGAAATGATAGTGCATC